TTTGGAAGTGGGCTTGGCTTGAATTATTAATTTTTCTTAAATAAATGAATGGACTGAGATTTGAATTGGGCCGGTGGTGTCACGCCCCGCTTCCCAAAATACCAGGGAATCGGGACGCGAGCAAGCCCACGACGTATTAAACTGAGAAGAGATAAGTGCTGGACCCCGTCTTCTCAATCTAATACGCTAAGCGTCAAGAAATACAAACGAAGACACAGGTCCCCGATCACAGTAGCGAGAATATAATAAACAACACAGACAGAAAATATACATATCACAACTGAAATATCATCCGAGACACAAAGTTTGGGTCAAACCTGCCCTTATTACAAAACAGTCCAACTAAAATAGGAAAATACATAGTCCGACAAAATAAGAAGGAAGTACTGCAAAATAACTAAGTCCATCGAAAGACTAAAGGGTAAGGTACTACATAAGTAATCTAGTGTCCATCAGTGATTACGTAAGCATCTCCAAGCTGAACCTGTTCTTCTTCTAAGTCTGACGTACACCAGAGAAAACAGGTGTACGTCAGCGCACATAACGTACGGCAAGATCCCACAAGGAAAGTAGAAACGGTCGTACGACCAATGCAAGAACAATAATAATAACAATAGTAATAATCTAAATGAAATCCACCATTATAATAATCAGAAGAATCCAAAACCAATCGGGTAACGAGGTTATGTAGCTAATGATCAGACTAATCATCCAAGTAACGATTCATACTACTAGCCATTGTATAACATGTCAGTAGCTAATGATCAGACTAATCATCCAAGTAACGATTCATACTACTAGCCATTGTATAACATGTCACTGGTCACATCTCACACAGAGCCAACGCTCATATCACCGGATAACTGACTGTTCATAAATCCTCTACGTGCATCCAATCCCGCGAAACGGTTCGGTGATAGGACTACACGAAATCCGATTTCGGCCTGGTTCGAACTCAAGCAAAACTCGGGTGACGAAACGATTTCACTAACCAAGTGCGAAACGGTTCACTTGGCCCAACAAACTAACCCCAGTGCGAAACGGTTCACTGGTTCTAGTCTGGAAGATACATCAACAGTCTTATCCGATCACATGAACATTAACTTCCCCATCCCAACTCTCTTGTTTTTCTAAGCTAACTTATACACAGGTTTCTAAGTCTTAAACCGGACACACTAGGCCACACTAGTCATGGTTTTCTAACGGTTCTCAAGCATAACAAAGAGTAATAAACACAACTAATCATATACAGCAAGATCATAACATATCACATAATTAAAATTAAGAAACATAAATTATGAAAAATTCATAATAATCCCTTTTCTAAAATAAATCCTTAAAAATTATTTATAAATGTTCTAAAATAATTCCTTTTATAAAATAAATCCTTTGAAATTATTCTAAATTGATACTTATTCTAAAATAAATTCTTTTAAATTATAATTATTCTAAAATAATTCTTTTGTCAAATAAATTCTATTAATTTATTATAATTACTCTAAAAATGATTTTTCACCAACATAATTTATTATAATTATTTTAAAATGATTATTTTGTCAAATAAATCCTTAAAAAATCATAAACTAATCTAAAATAATTTTATCTTATTTTATCTTTACAGTATCTATTATCAAAATATTATTTTTAGTATCATTCGTCAAATAAATCCGTACAGGTCATCACAGTATATGTATTACAATGTGAATGGTCATACATTATTGTCCACAGTCCGTTTCGTTCACGATACTTCTATACGTTATAGTTCTCAGTCCAATATGTTCACGACAGTTCCGTATTTGTAACGAATAATTATTCGGGTAACGAGTTCGTATGCATAATAAATCTGTGCAATCTACAAATTATAACTGAGCAAGAATAGATTCTTGGGGCCAAGCAATCTAATTAATTCCACCAGCGGCATGTAAAATTGAAGACGAGTCATAAAAGCAGAGGTGATCTTCGACTTACGAGCCATGGGACCTGTGACCAAGGCGCTTGATGCTGCTAGTATTTCTGTTCACTTCGTCCGCGATGCGTGCAGCGTTCGAAGACTGCGTGGATGAGCTTGGAACGGCGATGTCGCTGACAATCTGAACTGCAAGTGCGCGTCGCGGAGGCTCGTGCGGTCGCTTGTTGAGAGGAGGAGTCTCAGGAACTCTCGTGGTGGTCCGAGCGTGTTCGAGGCCTGAGGTGAACGCAGGGAGAGTGCTTGGTTGCGGTGCTTGGAGGAGGGCGGAAGCGGTCGCTGCAGTGGGGCTCTCGGCGTCGGAGAGAGGAGGCGGGTGGGGCAGCGGCTGCTGCAGGAGCGCGGAGGCGGTGATCAGGGGGCTTGGGCGCGGGAGCGGAGGAAGTGAGCGGTGCGTCTAGCGCGGTGCGCAGGCAGGCGCTGGCTCGGCGCATGTCGAGGCGCGAGTCGCGAGCGGGTTCGTCGGCGTCGGCAGCGCGGTCGTGGTCGGGAGCGGAAGCTCCGTGGCCTGAGCCTCGAGAGAGAGAAAGAGAGTGTACGAGAGAGAGATGGGGGCTGGGTGGGGTTTAAATAGATAAAAAAATAATAAAAAATTGAAAAAAAACAAAATAGATTATTGAATGCGGTGCGCGTGCAGCCGAAATTTTTGAAAAGAAGAGAAGGGAGAGAACGGGGTTGTTGGGTAGCTGATAGGGGTTTAACGCGGGAAGAAAAAGCTGGGAGTATTTTCAAATAGTTTCAGGTATTTAAACAAAAATAATTAAAATAAATAATTTCGGGTACTTAAAAATTAAACTAATTATATAATAATTATCTACAAATAAAAACGTACATTTTGAGCTAATACAACAGTTGATATGAAACTGTCGAAAATATACACGTATTGTACAATTAAACAGAAATAATTAATAATAAAAATATATTTACTTACATTTAAAATCAAATAATTATGTGACAATTATCTACACGATAAAACGTACCAGTTATGCTAATACGACAGCTGATACGTAAAATACAAGAAATTATACAATTAATACGTAATTAATAATTCAATATAATACAAGAATTAATACATGATAATAATAATAATACGACGTATTATTTAAAATAATACGTAATAGTATCAGTAACACAACGGATAATTCCCAGAAATTTTCATTGCACTAAATTAATTTATAAATATAAAAACCATTTAAATAAATATAAAACTTAGACTTTAAATCATAGAAAATTCTAGAAAATCGAGAAAAATACAAATACTCTTTTAAAAATCATAATTAAATATTTTAAAATACCAAAAATTTATTTTAACTAGTATTAAAATTTTACGGTCATTACATTCTACCCCCCTTAAAACAAATTCCGTCCTCGGAATTAAAATAATGGTGACGTATAAAGAACTCAAGGACCGAGATATGGAAAGAGATACTCACTCAACACATATAGAGAATGGTTCAAATAACTGCATTTTCATAAGTAGGGAGAAAGTATGACAAGAACAATACAAGGTAAGGTACAAGATGTGACAACTAAGATTCAGGAAACAGATGAGGGTATCGTTGTCTCATTTCAGACTCAGTCTCCCAAGTCGACTCGCCAGGAGAATCTGGGTGCCACATCACACGAATGAGCGTGACGGTCTTGTTCCGGAGAGTCTTCTCTCTTCGGTCTAAAATCGTCACAGGCTGTTTCTCGTATGTCAAATCAGGTCGCACCTCAATCTCCGAGAAATCTACGATATGACTCGGATCTCCGACATATCTCCGTAACTGAGAAATGTGGAATACGTCATGCACTCCAGCCAATGCGGGTGGTAATGCAAGTCGATACGCCACTTCTCCAACTCTCTCTAATACGTCGAAAGGTCCCACATATCGCGGACTCAACTTCCCACGCCTTCCAAAGCGAATGTTACCTCGGTTAGGGGAAATCTTTAGGAACACATGGTCTCCTGGCTGAAACTCCAAATGTCGACGCTTCGCATCTGCCCAATGCTTGAATCGGTCCTGCGCTATGCGAAGTCGTTCCCGAATGATTCTGACAGCATCAACTGACTTGTCAATCAACTCTGGCCCAAAAATCTCTCGTTCACCAATATCGTCCCAACTCAAAGGAGAACGACACTTCCTCCCATATAATGCCGCGAAAGGAGCCATTCCAATGCTAGCCTGGAAGCTATTGTTGTATGAAAACTCCACCAAATGCAAGTGATCTTCCCATGACCCGTGAAAGTCAAGCATACAGGCTCTAAGCATATCCTCCAAAATCTGAATAGTCCTCTCCGATTGCCCATCGGTCTGAGGATGATAAGCTGTGCTGAAACTGAGATTGGTCCCAAGACTCGCCTGCAAACTCTTCCAGAATTCTGAAGTAAATCGGGTATCGCGATCCGAAACGATGCATACTGGAACTCCGTGCAATCGTACGATCTCCTCCATGTATCTCTGAGCAAGATGCTCCGTCGACTGTCCCACTCGGAAGGGAATGAAGTGAGCCGATTTGGTTAATCGATCTACGATCACCCAAACAGCGTCATTTTGTCTAGTGCTCCGAGGTAAGCCAGTAACGAAGTCCATGGTAACATGTTGCCACTTCCATTCCGGAATAGGCAATGGCTGCAACAGACCTGCGATACGCTGATGCTCTGCCTTCACCTGCTGACATACAAGGCACTTCGCCACACTACGAGCCACATCTCTCTTCATACCACGCCACCAAAAGTTTAGTTTCAGATCCTTGTACATCTTCGTACCTCCAGGGTAGATAGAGTACGGTGAGCTGTGAGCTTCTCGTAATAATTCTTCTCGAATATCTCCATCTGGATACGACTCCCAAATCGTAAGGATCCGTCCTCATGAACAACAAATTCCGGTCGAAGACCAGCCACTGCTAGCTCTCTACACTTCTGAAGAAATGAGTCATCTGATTGTGCAGTCTTAATCCGCTCGACCAATGTCGATTGAATTTGAAGATTCATCAAGGAAGCGGTGACCCCTGGAAGTATAACTTCTATACTCATCTCTCTCACTTCCTGCTAAAGTCTCCACTGAGCTGTGAGGGTCATGATTGCTGGCAAACGGCTCAAAGCATCTGGTACTACATTAACCTTGCCAGGGTGGTACTGAAGGTCAATGTCGTAATCTGCCATTAGCTCTAACCATCTGCGTTGTCTCATGTTGAGCTCCTTCTGAGTAAAAATGTACTTCAAGCTCTTGTGGTCAGTGAACACCTTTACTTGCTCTCCCAACAGATAATGCCTCCAAAGCTTAAGGGCAAAAATCACAGCTGCCAACTCCAGGTCGTGGGTAGGATAATTCTGCTCATGCTTCTTCAACTGACGAGAAGCATACGCTACCACATGACCATCTTGCTGTAGAACACATCCCAATCCTCTACCTGATGCGTCGCAAAACACCTCAAAGTTCCCGCTCTTATTTGGTATCAAACGCCTGCTCACAAGCGTCGGACCAGACGAATTTAATATCCTTCCTTGTAAGACGCGTCATCGGTTCTGCAATCTTCGAGAAATCCTTGATGAAACGCCGATAATATCCAGCTAATCCCAGGAAGCTCTTAATGTCGGACACCGACTTAGGGGTAGGCCCATCCTTAACAACAGCTACTTTATCCGGGTCCACAGATATGCCGTCTCTTGACACCACGTGTCCTAGAAATGCAATGCGGTCTAGCCAAAACTGACACTTACTATACTTGGCGAATAGTCGATGCTCTCTCAAGGTCTTCAGTACATACCGCAAGTGCTCTGCATGCTCTGCTTCATTCTTAGAGTACACTAGGATATCATCGATAAAGACTTCTACAAACTTGTCCAGCACATCATAGAATACCAAATTCATCAGGTTCATAAATGTCGCTGGCGCATTAGTCACATCAAACGGCATCACTAAGAACTCATAATGTCCATATCTCGTCCGGAACGCAGTCTTGGGGACATCAGAATCCTTAACCTTCACCTGGTGATATCCGCTCCGCAAATCCAGCTTAGAAAATACTCTCGATCCTCCCAATTGATCGAAGATATCATAGATACGGGGAAGTGGATATTTATTCTTTACTGTCACCGCATTCAACTCCCGGTAGTCGATGCACATCCGCTTGGATCCATCCTTCTTTCCCACGAGCAATACAGGTGCTCCCCATGCCGATACACTAGGTTGAATCAACCCTCTATGCAAAAGATCGTCCAACTGAGTCCGAAGCTCGGTCAACTCAGCCGGAGGCATACGATAAGGGGTCTTGGAAATCGGAGCAACTCCAGGCTTCAGTTCTATGGAGAACTCAATTGCTCGATCCGGTGGTAACCCGTAAATGTTATCGGGAAACACATCTTCAAATTCCCGAACTACAATTGGCTTCTCAGATTCCACTTGCATGGCAGCAAACGTCGCCTTCTTCGGTCTAGCTTTATACTCTACCGGTCCAGCCGATGTACTACCACTAAGGAATTCAAACCTCGGGTGATCCGGTATCTCAAATACTACGCTCCGACGACGGCAATCAATGGTGGCAAAGAATGATCCCAACCAATCCATTCCAAATACTGCGTCGAAACTCGGCAGATCAATCACCAGGAAATCTGCAAAGAGCTCTCTCCCGCAGATGACTACATGGCATGATTCATAACCACTGGATGCTACTAAGACACCACTGCCGGTATTGATATTCAGGAGAAGGTAATTACGACTAAGCTTAGTACTCATAATGAATCCTATCATTCTATCATCAGGTAAGGCTAGATAAGGAAAAATTCATATGCAAGTAAAACTAAGAATGAACAGTTCTTACCAGTGATAACTTGATCATTCGCCTCAGCTTCCACAGCTGACATCATGAATGTTTGACGTGGAGGTTGCTGCCCTTGTGCCTGCTGATAAAGCTGTTGTTGTGGAGGGAGAGGTCCAGTTCGAGGGTAGGACCTGTGCTGGGGCTGTGCTGCTGGTGCAGGTCGAGGTGGAGCTGGAGGAGCTGCTCGAACTGGAGGTGGGGGCAAACGAGCCTGCTGTTTCTGAGGACAATCTCGACTCATATGGTCGGGGGACCCACAGCTGAAGCATAGATGAAGACGCCTGGGGCAATCCTGCTGAGTATGACCAGGGTAGCTGCAATAGGAACACCTCACCGAAGGCTGGCCGCGAGTCTGCACTCCCGGGCGCTGATAAGGGTGACTCTGATGAAATGGCTGACGCTGAGAATGCTGCTGCCTCTGCGGGTTCTGCTGCTGCTGTCTCGGAGGGAGACGCTCGACACTTCGGGTCGGAGCCGCTGGTGTCCTTCTCTGAATCAAGTGTGAATCTTCTGGTTCCTTCTGCACGCTTTCAATCTCGCGTGCTGCATCCAATACGGCGTCGTGAGTCGCGAGAGCCCTACCAGCCAAAGCCAATCTGATATACTTGTCCAGACCTTTCTGGAACTGGTGTTTCCTGATAGTGGGGTCTGTAACTAAGTGAGGAGCATATCGGCTCAAAGAAGAAAACTCGGCCTCATACTCGTCGACTGATCGACCCCCTTGCTTGAGCTCGACAAATCTACGCAGGAGCTCATCTCGGGCTGACTGTGGAAAATACTTCCTATTGAAGCGATCCGTGAATGTCTCCCACAGAATCGGCCTCTCTAGGTGTGTCTTCTCAGCAGCCCACCAGATTCTAGCTGTATCCGTGAGCTGAACATCCATGAGATCTACCCACTCTGCAGGGGGAATACGAGTCACCGTAAGGATAGTCTCCGTGACCTTGAGGAACTCCTCTGCTGCTAAAGGTCCCACCGGAGAAAGAAGGAGGTCGCATATACCGAAACTCCCTGACACCAGGTTCTGTACGAGGGGGAGGCTGGTGAGGCTCCCGCTGCAAGTGCCCAGCCAAATGCTGTTGATTCGTCGCCAGTCCCTGAATCATTGCCAAAAGTTGGCGTGGGTCCACTTCGGGCGGAGGGACATCACTACTGGATGGGTTACCATTGCTTCGTGTACCCACCATGGTTCTGAAGGGAAGGCAACGAGGATCAAAATTATTGCAGGAAAAATCAAGTCAAGATCAAAATCGAAATTGGGTAAGGTAGGGACGGAAACAAGATTGGTCAAGATACTGGGATAAGGGCTAAGTATAGTCTTACGGATGAAATATGATATGCGTCTAAATTATTCATTATATTCTCACTGGTAAGAAATCGGGATCGTGACCAGGACCTTGACCTGCATGGGCCACCACTAAAACCTGTCACACCCCGCTTCCCAAAATACCAGGGAATCGGGACGCGAGCAAGCCCGCGACGTATTAAACTGAGAAGAGATAAGTGCTAGACCCCGTCTTCTCAATCTAATACGCTAAGCGTCAAGAAATACAAACGAAGGCACAGGTCCCCGATCACAGTAGCGAGAATATAATAAACAACACAGACAGAAAATATACATATCACAACTGAAATATCATCCGAGACACAAAGTTTGGGTCAAACCTGCCCTTATTACAAACAGTTCAACTAAAAATAAGAAAATACATAGTCTGACAAAATAAGAAGGAAGTACTGTAAAATAACTAAGTCCCTCGAAAGACTAAAGGATAATTACTACATAAGTAATCTAGTGTCCATCAGTGATTACGTAAAAGATAACTAAGCTTCCGTCTGTTCTTCTGTTCCACCTGGAAGACACTCCGGCTGGGCATACTCCTGTTCTAATGCATCATCATACTGGACCTGTCCGTCCTCTAAATCTGACGTACACCAGAGAAAACAGGTGTACGTCAGCGCACATAACGTACGGCAAGATCCCACAAGGAAAGTAGAAATGGTCGTACGACCAATGCAAGAACAATAATAATAACAATAGTAATAATCTAAATGAAATCCATTATAATAATCAGAAGAATCCAAAACCAATCGGGTAACGAGGTTATGTAGCTAATGATCAGACTAATCATCCAAGTAACGATTTATACTACTAGCCATTGTATAACATGTCACTGGTCACATCTCACACAGAGCCAACGCTCATATCATCGGATAACTGACTGTTCACAAATCCTCTACGTGCATCCAATCCCGCGAAACGGTTCGGTGAGAGGACTACACGTAATCCGATTTCGGCTTGGTTCGAACTCAAGCAAAACTCGGGTGACGAAACGATTTCACTAACCAAGTGCGAAACGGTTCACTTGGCCCAACAAACTAACCCCAGTGCGAAACGGTTCACTGGTTCTAGTCTGTAAGATACATCAACAGTCTTATCCGATCACATGAACATTAACTTCCCCATCCCAACTCTCTTGTTTTTCTAAGCTAACGTATACACAGGTTTCTAAGTCTTAAACAGAACATACCAGGGCATACTAGTCATGAATTTCTAACGGTTCTCATGCATAACAAAGAGTAATAATTGTAGCTAATCATATACAACAAGATCATAGTATATCACATAATTAAAATTAAGAAACATAAATCATGAATATTTCATAATAATCCCTTTTCTAAAATAACTATTTTAAAAGATATTTATAAATGTTCTAAATAATTCCTTTTATAAAATAAATCCTTAAAAAATATTTATAAATGTTCTAAATAATTTCTTTTATAAAACTTCCTTAAATTACTGAAATTATTCTAAATTAATACTTATAAATTCTTTTAAATTATAATTATTCTAAAATAATTCTTTTGTCAAATAAATTCTATTGTTTTATTATAATTACTCTAAAATGATTTTTCACCAAAATAATTTATTATAATTATTTTAAAATGATTATTTTGTCAAATAAATCCTTTAAAAAATCATAAATTAATCTAAAATAATTTTATCTTATTTTATCTTTACAGTATCTATTATCAAAATATTATTTTTAGTATCATTCGTCAAATAAATCCGTGCAAGTCATCACAGTATATGTATTACAATATGAATGGTCATACGTTATTGTCCACAGTCTGTTTCGTTCACAACAGTTCTATACGTTATGGTTCTCAGTCCAATATGTTCACGACAATTCCGTATTTGTAACGAATAATTATTCGGGTAACGAGTTCGTATGCGTAATAAATCCGTAATCAATCTAAAATTATACTGAGCAAGAATAGGGATCTTACAAGCAACTAATTAATTCAGAGCGGATCTAAGAATTGAATGATAAATCAAAAGAGTATCGGGATCTTGGGCCTACGAGCAATGGGAGCGCTTTTTGATGAGCAAGGCGCGATGCTGGGCTAGTTTCTGTTCACGTGGTTCCGGCGAGCGGTGCAGCGGTTTCGAAGAGCTGGTGGTGGAGAGTGGAACGGCGCTTGCTCGGCATTGGACGAATCTGCAACGCATTTGGCTGGCGTCGTCGGAGTCGGGGGTCCGATGTTTGGAGGAGAGAGCTTCAGAGAAGGGCGATCTGGTGGTGGTCGGCGGCTGTTCGAGGGCAGGTGACGGCAGGGGAGAGCGGCTTGTTGGGCGGTGCGAGCTGGGAGCATGAAGCGGTATCGCTGCAAAGGTGGCCGCTGAGGGTCGGAGAGAGGAAGTCCGGGGTGGGGCACGTGTGCAGGAGGCGGGAGTGTCGGTGACAGGGGGCTGAGCGGAAGGAAGGTGAGCGGTGCGGGTCTAGCGCGGTGGTCGGAAGCAGGCCGGCGGCGAGGTCGAGGGCGAGGTCGGCCGCGTCGTCGCGGTTCGCCGGCTAGCGGCGTTCGGGTCGGGGAGCGGAGCTCGGCGGCTGAGCTCCGAGAGAGAGCAGAAGACACAGAAGAGAGAGTAAAGCATGGTATCGGTGATCACGAGCTGGGTCAGGGGGTTTAAATAGATAAAAATAATAATAAAAAATTAAAAAAAAAATAAAATAGATTATTGAATGCGGTGCGCATGCAGCCGAAATTTTTGAAAAGAAGAGGAGGGAGAGAACGGGGTTGTTGGGTAGCTGATAGGGGTTCGACGCGGGAAACAAAAGCTGGGGTTATTTTCAAATGGGTTCAGGTATTTAAACGAAAATAATTAAAATAAATAATTTCGGGTACTTAAAAATTAAACTAATTATATAATAATTATCTACAAATAAAAACGTACATTTTGAGCTAATACAACAGTTGATATGAAACTGTCGAAAATATACCCGTATTGTACAATTAAACAGAAATAATTAAAAACGTACATTTTGAGCTAATACAACAGTTGATATGAAACTGTCGAAAATATACCCGTATTGTACAATTAAACAGAAATAATTAATAATAAAAATATATTTACTTACATTTAAAATCAAATAATTATGTGACAATTATCTACACGATAAAACGTACCAGTTATGCTAATACGACAGCTGATACTTAATAATACAAGAAATTATACAATTAATACGTAATTAATAATTCAATATAATACAAGAATTAATACATGATAATAAAATAATACATAATAGTATCAGTAACACAACAGATAATTCCCAGAAATTTTCATTGCACTAAATTAATTTATAAATATCAAAACCATTTAAATAAATATAAAACTTAGACTTTAAATCATAGAAAATTCTAGAAAATCGAGAAAAATACAAATACTCTTTTAAAAATCATAATTAAATATTTTAAAATACCAAAAATTTATTTTAACTAGTATCAAAATTTTACGGTCATTACAGGTGGGCTGTAGAATAATTGATTTTGAAAATTCACATGAATGAGGACCGAGTATTGATTGTTGCAGAATTGGACTTGGGCTGAAAATTTTGATTTTTTTTAAGTCTCCATGGACCGGACTTGATGATCATAATGCTAACTTGATTTTTATTTATTTTTGAAAATCAATTGGGCCTCCTATGTTGGACTAGAGAAGAACAAAAAGCAAATTCAAAGGTGGAGATTGTTGCTTGGGGCTCAAGACAAATCCAATGGCTCATATTCATTGATGATTACTATAAATAGGGGTAGAGAGTGAGGGGTTAAGGTGTGAAAATTTTTGTAAACTCCTTTTGGAGAGGAGGGCCACTCTTAATTGAGAAGGCCTTCCAAAATTATAACTTTTTATTGTAATTAATAATAATAATTTTTTTACCACTTTAAAATTTTCTCTTCTTCTCTTTGTTGGATGATGAAGATGAAGATGAAGATGGAGAATTATTTGAAGGTTTGCATTTCTTTTCTTTTTCTCTTTTATTGCTTATTAGTTTAGATTTATTTCTATGCTTGTAGTTAGATTTTATTTTTTTGTTAAATAGCCAAGAGGCTAGAACCCTCTTGCCTTAGATTTATTTCATGCTTATAGAGTAGATTTATTTTCTTGCATTTAATTCTTACAATTTTATTTTATAGTTTAGATTTTGTAATTTATTTTATATTTATATTTTAATTTCTTGTACTATTCACCTTGAGGCTAGAACCCTCTAGGGTTTAGTTTTTCTTTTTGTTTATTTCTATTTTGTTTGATTCGCCTTTAGGCTAGAACCCTCTAGGGAATCGTCCTTTTCTAAGAAGTGTGTTCAATTTTAGATTACTCATATCTATAATTGAATCCACCATCTTTTATTTCTTGCATTTTCTTTTATTCTAGAATTTTGTTCTTCATTCTTGATTTTCTTATTTGTTTCTTGATTTTATTCATTTTTCCTTCTCACCTTATTGATCATACTCATTCTCTTTTACATCCACTCTCACTTACACTTTGCACCTACTTACACACCACTTTCACTCTTTCAATCTCTTCACAATCATATTCGCTCACCAATCTTATTTGTCACGCACACAACATAATAACCAATTTCATATTTTCTCCTATAAAACACCTTCCTCGTGGGATCGATATCTCAAATACTATAACTTGACACGGTTATGCACTTGCAACCTTTTTGGTACATGTTTATGCCGCATCACATGCCATGGTGGAGAGGCAGAGCCATGGAAGATGTGGGTCTTCTTGTTGAAGTGTTTGCGCAGCGATAATGAAAGAGAGTACACTTCCATTGAGTTTAAAGATTATTGCTCCAAGCATGGTATTCAACATCATAGGACAGAGCCCGGCACA